CTTAAACTTTGAATATTTCTTCAGATATATTTACTTATACTACTGGTTCATAGAATACGTTCTAATACGTACAATACAAACGTACACACATTCCACACATCATGTGAAAATGAAGGCACGACTTCCTGGCCTGCAAAAGACGAACGAAAGCCAACCGTGACCTTGGCATACCTTTTTTTAATCTTCCTTTCTGCCTTTGGCTTATTATTTTGCGAAAAGTGATTGTGACTGAAATTAAGTTCGAAGTTGTTGTGAGGGAAACAATGTTAGGTCCTCTCCCCTCCCCCCACTCTCTTGCAGGTAGACCGCGTGACGTGCGGCATGCTAATCAGTATCTCACTTCACCGTTCATTGCATTGACGTCATCGAACGTGCGGTTATAAACACGCCCGATAAGAATAACAGAAGCTTGTGAGAAAAACTAGCGAATTCCACTTCGCTTCACATATGTACATGGTAAACCCAGAAAGAACCCGAAATCCTAATATTCATTTAACGACATTCATTTAGTCGTCATAAAATTTCATACAGAATGTTCAATTTCACAGCTACGATAATTCATTAATTCTACAAAGAATTCCTCAACCGGAAAACTTTTTTTTTTAATTTTTATATCACGAAAGATTAATGTGGCGCTGGTGTCGCTCTCATTTTGAACGTGCGCAGAGAAACAACTTTCATCAGGACTGAAAGTAAATGACTTGGCGCTCATACCAAATTTCATGCACATCTATCACGTGATTTATATTTACTATGGGGAAACGCAAAGTTTCGAATTTACATCGTCCACTCAGACGATTCTAACCTCGTAAATAAAATGTCTTATCTCAGTTAAATCGATTTTGGAATCGACCTTTCATTTTGTCGGACTTGCAATCGATAGTTCACGAAAGCCATGTTTTCGGCGTGACCGCAAATACAACTATCAGCTTCTCCTTCTTTGTGTCAGTTTGGCCGTAAATGACATTTGTTGTCGGAGAGCAGACATGTTACTGTGACCTCCAACAGCTGGAAAAAACGTTTCGAACAAAATTTGCATGCAAATATGAAAAACACATTTTATGCTCAACATAACTTTTCGTATGTTTTGCGGTTTTCGAGTCAAAACAAACGCGGTTTCTATGTTGTCATCTTATAATTCGATCGGAAATTTATATTGGAGGTCCCGGTTCGTCCATCGCCTGCTTTCACGTACAAGAGGATCCAAAGTCATCAATCACGAATTAAAAAATCAGATGAAGTTTTCACGGGAAGGGGGTGGGGGTACAAAGATGGCTCTCGTCCGGACTGTTGCACCGCGTAACCTGGTATATCCCTATCGACGTTTCATAGGTGCTTGCTGCCTCCATCTTCAGGTCATCGCCCTGAGTGACAACAACCTGGGAGACAGCCATCTTCATTTCACAACTTCGCGGAATTCACCAATGGAAGAACTCGTCCAGGACAACCGAAGAACACTTTTCATGGTGGATTTTAGGTTTCACGGCGGTGAGTCTGAAGATGGTTGTCTTCTGGGTTGTAGCCCTGGTGATGGAGGCAGTAGGGACCTCTAAAACGTTGGTATACTGCTACAATCCAGAAGACAATAACCATATTTGGACTTTCCATCGTGCGTAAACTTCAGTTCCTCAACTGTTCTGTAGAAACACTTTTAATATTATTATTTATTGTTCTGTCTGACGACAGGTCCATATGAACAGGATCCTTCCATCCTTTTCTCGGACTG